GTGATAGAGGGCATCCTTTCTGGTTCCTGTCCACAAGGGGAATGGTTTCGATCTCTCTCCATTGAGAATAATGTTGGCTGTTGGTTTTGTATATAACTTCCTTGGTGATACTGCCTCGGAAACCCAAGAAAGGGTCGCTATGAGTCGGACCAACTCGAGGGCACATAACAACAACTATAATGAGGAATCTCCCTTCTAATTTTGCTGAGAGTTTGGTCAAGAATGGGTGTTGGATTTTATCAAACGCCTTTTCTTCATCGATTTATAGGATCATGTGGTTCTTTTCCTTTGTTTTATTTATGTGATGGATGACATTGATTGTTTTTCTAATGTTGAACCATCCTTGGTACCTGGTATGAATCCCACTTGGTCATACTGTATTATTTTTTTGATATGTCATTGGAGTCTGTTGGCTAGGATTTTATTGAGGATTTTTACATCTGTATTCATGATGGATCTTGGTATGTAGTTTTCCTTTTTAGTGATATCTTTGCCTGATTTTGGTATCAAGGTTATGCTTGCTTCATAAATGAATTTGGAAGGATTCCATCCTTTTCTATGTCCTGGAATAGATTGAGTAGGATTTGTGTCAGTTCTTCTGTGAACATTTCGTAGAATTCACCAGTGAAACCATCTGAGCCAGGGCTTTTGTTGTTGTTGTTGTTGGTAATTTTTTTATGACCTGTTCAACTTCTTCTTTTGTTATGGGTCTGTTTAAATTTTCCACCTCAGCCTCTGTCAGTTTAGGTAAGTAGTGTGTTTCTAGAAATCTGTCCATTTCTTTAGATTCTCAAATTTATTTTGGAGTATAGTTCTTCATAGTATCCTGATATTACCCTTTTAATTTCTGTTGGTTCTGTTGTGGTGTTGCCCAGTTTGTTTCTTATTTGTGTTATTTGTATTCTCTCCCTCATTTCTTTTGTTAAATTTGCCAGTGGTTGTCAATTTTATTAATCTTTTCAAGGAACCAACTTCTAGTCTTGTTGATTTTTTTCTATTGTCTTTCTATTTTCTGTTTCATTGATTTCTGCTCGAATCTTTATTATTTCTTTTCTTCTGGTGACTGTAGGCTTTTTATACTGCTCTTTTTCTAATTGTTGGAGATGTTGGGTTAAGTTATTGATTTTGGCTCTTTCTTCTTTTTTGATATGTATATTTATTGCTATAAATTGACCTCTGATCACTGTTTTTGCTATGTCCCGAAGATTTGGGTATGTTGTGTTTTCATTCTTGTTTGATTCAAGGAATTTTTTTATTTCAATTCTTATTTCTTCTATTACCCAGTTATTTTCAAAGAGGGTGTTATTCAGTTTCCATGTGTT